ATCCTTGTACATGCAGTGCTGCCATCTTCTGTTTCAGTCCGTTATTACACTCTTAAATCCTGCTACTTATTCCTGCGTCTTTTGGGATCTTACAAAGCTTCAAACGATGCGTCGACTATTAAATTAGTCGTCGACAATTTTAATAGTCGACATAATCGTGACTAGTCGACTAATCGTGGCAGCCCTAATGTACACTGATACGCACTGTCACCCTCCCTCCCCCAAATCCAACGCCTCCTCCCATGCTTACCTCCCGTCCGATGTGGACACCAGATCAGCCGGAGCGCAATCGAAGATTGCAGCGGTCCCAGATCAGCTGTACACTCTGGAATACTCTCCCATGTTGCTTGTCTGTGGTTTAATGTGTTACGGTGTGATGATATGTGTGCATTCTTTTTCTCCTGAATTATGCTTTTGTGTTACACTGTTTTTCCTTTTGCTACTTAGCCTGACCTGTCTCCCCAATGTGATGTTTGTGTATTGTATGTACGGTGGCAAGGTCTGTCATCTCGGTTGTGGGCAAAAGACCTGCAACTGACAAATAAAGGCTATATCATCTCATTCATACATGCATAAATGAATAATAAAGTCTGACCAGCTTATTTTGTGTGTTTACAGGTGCAGCTCCAAAACCTATTGTCTGGCTAGTTAAAGACACAGAGGACCAAGTACAGCTGCACTGTGTGGTTCCAGGCGCCTTTCCCAAACCTGAGGTACTGTGGAAGGAAAGTAATGGAGACATCGTTCCTGCTGAGCCACAGGTGTTATACAGAGGAGACCACTACTACATCACCCTCCTCATCACTGTGACTGCCACAAACACCGGCCTCTTCCATTGTGTGGCCACACAGGAGGAGATTGGCCATGTGATTGATGCTGAAATCCGTGTTCCAGGTGAGATTCCCTCTCGTCATGTTTTCATCTGTGAATAATTTTATATGTGCAACGTCGTGAGTGTGTGGAGTTTATAATCAGCATGTTAACTGCTGTGTTTCAGATAAACAGTTTAAGTCCTCCTATGGAGATGGTGTGCTGGCAGGTTTATTTTGTGCTGGATTTGTTACTGGTGCATCTGTAGTTCTAGTTCTTTGTGTTTTGTACGTCAGAAAGAACTACATCAAGAAAGGTAAGTTTATGATAATTGTAACAATATTTTTGTCTCATGTAGACATAAATATAAAAGATACTTTAAGCTTTCTTCTTTAAATATTCTTCATAGGTGTTTTTTCCTGATTCATATTTAGTTTATACATCTAGGTGTGTTTTAGCCATGTTCATTTCATGGTCAATGTGTTCAAAAAAGGTCTGGAGACATGGACGAGGCTCTGTCATGGTTTGGTGCTGTATTTCAGCACCAAACCATGGTCTTTTTCAAAAGACCGTGGAGGTCTTTTTCAAAAAAAATAAACCTTAGACTTAAACGTTAGAACAGGCTTCTCCCCGCAGCACGCCGTGTAATAAATACAAAGAAAACGGCGGCCGTTACAACTTATGTCTAAAAATGTATCGTTTCATGCATCGGTTAAAACACTCGACTCCAGCTACACGACGCGCAGCTGGAAACACTTCACGCAAGTCGAGCTGCCCGAGATTCACAGAACTTACAGAAAATGTTACGTTTTTGTGATTTATATCGTTATCGGGATGATAGATGTCTTATATCGGGATATGAGATTTTGGTCATATCGCACAGCCCTAATATACACACTGTCAGACATTGACAGTTTTTTTTGTTTTGTTTTTTTAAAATAGGAAATTTACATTCAAAGCACAACCTTTGAGTTTTAAATGAGATTGTGAATAAAATATTGCATTGGCAAATTGTGTTTATGTGGCCAGATAACCAAACCAGGATTCCCCGTTCACTGTGTGATGGAATTTACCATGATTCAGATTCCACTGAATGTTCTCCATCAGATACCGCAGGATGTTACAGTAGAACCTGCACTAGCAACCTGATCCTGGAGAATACATTTGTGGTGCAATAAGGGGGAATAAGCCTGTTCATATTCTTTCTCCTCATCGGCTGCCTTCTGAAGCTAGCTTTAGAAACTAAAATCGTAAATGTCATGAGGTGATTTCATAGATGTATGTTTGACTGACTCCAGAGTCTGACTCAGGCTTAAATCAGCTGTTAAACACAAAAGAAATCCCGTGGTTGCTTCAACCCAGAGAAACTCTTCAGTCTCCACTCACTCATCATGTTTGAGAATAGACAGTTGAAAGATGCTTGCAAGTGTTATTGACAGAACCAGTAATGATTTCTGTATTACATAAAGGTACTGATGTTATGTCATTTCTGTTTTATTCTTTTGTTTTTCCCCTGGCAGTTTCTGCTCCGAAGACTAACGGTTCGTGTAATGGGGAATCAAGCCAGCCACTTCAACCACTTTAAAAGTGCCAGATGATCTGCCTTCTGTGTGGAGAAAATAATTGATATCCTGTGTGTGGATATCAAATCTGTGCCAGCTTTTTAGTTTACTTGCCACAGTTGGAGCTTTCAGTGACATTTACAGCCAGTGAGCATCTGTGGTGAGAAAAAGTGCCTTCCTCTCTCCTTGGCTTTTACAATCAAGTTCAATTTTGCATAGGACTGCACTGCTGTAGACAATGAATTTCTGAAAGGGTGCTCAGTTACACTTATTGTTTTGTTTGTTGTTTTCTAAATTTGCAAAGCAAAGCACTCTTTTAATTTTTTTTTTTAAAGTCTTACTCAGGGTCACATGTGAAATTATGCAAGAGGAAAAATGTATATTTTAACTATACTCCATGTGCTACTGGAAGATCTTTGCTGTTATTTTGCGTGTGACTTGGATATCCACTTTAACCTCAGGAGTTTTTATATACA